AAGAGAAGAGAAGAGAAATGTGTGAGAGCAACAGCCCTATAGAGACCAAGGTCAGGGAGGAAGGAGAGGCATGAGGGGCTCTGGGCACCAGAGGGGAGATTCTCTGGCAGCCCATGGGGTCCTTGGGGAGCAGACACCCCCTGCAGCCCTGCAGGAGCCCCCAGGAGAGCAGGGGGTGCCCGAATGGGCTGTGAGCCCGTGGGAAGCCCCTGCTGGAGCACTTGGGACAGAGCTGCAGCCTGGGGAAAGGACTCCCGCTGGAGAAGTCCCTGGAGAAGGGTCTCCCGTGGAAGGCAGGGACCCCACCTTGGCTGAGCAGCAGCTGAAACAACCTGAAATAACTGCCCGGGGCCCACTGCCATCTCTTGTGCCGCTGGGGGGAGGAGGGAGAGCCTGAAGAGGGAGGGATGGTGAGGAAGATGTTTCTAAGATTTTACTTTTCATTATCCTGCTCTGATTTGATTAGTAATAAATGCAATTAATTTCCCCAAGCAGAGTGTGTTTTGCTCATGACATTAATGGGTGAATGATCCCTTCCTGCCCTTACCCTCACCCAGGAGCCCTTTGTTCTATTCCCGTGCCCTGTCCAGGTGAGGAGGGCAGTGACAGAATGGCACCTGGCAGAGGGGAGAGGGGTTTTGGAGGGGACAGGCACCTGCTTACATCTGGCAGAATCCTCCAGCTCGTTGCACTGAGGTGGGGACGTGTCTCATACTTGACAACTACAAACCACAAACCTGCCTCTCTCAGCTCACACAGAGCAGGCCAACACCAGGACCCAACCCCCCCCCCGTGCCTCAGTTTCCCCAGCTGCACAATGGGGTGACGTTCCAGAGCAGGGGCAGTGGGACCAGCAGCCCTGCAGGGATGCAGAGAACTGCAGGGAATTTTGCTCTGAGCCCCAGTGTTGGGGCCACCTCAATGTCCCCAGTTCTGTGTCCCCAGGAGTAGAAGGTGTCCTGGGCTGGGATGGGCTGCGGGGTCTAAGGCCACCAGGAAAGAGATGGGGGTGGCAAAACTGGCCCCTCCCCAGGAAAAGCCAGGGGCATTCTGGAGGGATTGGAGCCCCTCAGGGACAGCCCTGAGGACACATCGTGCTGGCTGGACACAGTTCCCAGCCCCACGGGGCCGTGCTGCAGCACTGCCTGCACCAAACAGGGGCTGGGGCCCTTTCCATCCCCCCACCAGGACCCTAAAGGACAATCAGTGGTCCCCAAGCCCAATTCCCCTTCAGTCCCTCCCACTTCCAAACCAGTTGTGCCCCCTTACCCTCTCCGAGCCTTCCTCCACATCCAGCAGTGCTTCTTCCTCACTCCCCAGCTGGCCAGCACAGGGAACAGTCACTGCCCACTCTGACTGTCCCCTGGCCCCCGGGCTGGCACTGCTGGCCAGCACAGGGAACAGTCACTGCCCACTCTGACTGTCCCCTGGCCCCCGGGCTGGCACTGCTGGCCCCTGGCACAGCGTGGAGCTGGGTACGTGCACGGGGGCGGCTGCAGCTGAAGCTGGGCCAATGTCCCCGGGCATGTGACACGTCCGTGGGGGGACAGTGAGTCTGTTTGTCCCCTGGGGATGGACACAAGCAGCTGATTCCCCCATGCCTTGCCAGACACCCCCTAGCACCTTTTGAAAGGAAGGAAACTGAGGCAAGGGTGACCCCAGGTCCTGGCAGAAACCGCTGGACTCCTGTGCAGAACTGGACCCACAGGGGCTGTGCAGGGCAGTGTCCTGTCCCACCATGTCCTGCATCCCCTCACCAGGAAAACCAGCCCGGCCTCGGCACTGGCTGCCAGAAAATGAGCTCCCAGGTCAGCGTCCAACTTCCAAAAAGCCCCCAAAACCCCCCAGCCGAGACAGCCCCTGAGCCTGGCATGTCATGGGGACCTGGGACCCCTCACCTCCAGCTCCAGCGTTCCTCCAGCACCCCAGGCAGTGCCAGGCTCTGCCTCACAGTCGCAGCATTCCCGGGGAGCTGGGGCAGGATCCGGCCACAGCAGCTCAGGACAAGAAAAGCTCTTTGCGTTCCTCCTCCCGCGGGCTCTTGATAACACCCCCAGCTGTGAAGAGGAGACAAAAAAAGCCTTTTGGGAACAGTGGAACCACAGCTGGTGGTTCCAGCCTCAGCTCCTTGAGGAGGGGCTGAGACCCAGCGGGATGAGATGTTCCTCTCACCGACCTTCCCCTTTCCGTGGTGCCGGTGAGGATCGCAAACAGGAAGCCTGGCGGACACGGCGAGGGGAAACGTCTGAGGCTGTGCAGGTTTTGGGGAGGGACGGGTTTCTTTAGGTGGAGGGAGCCGGGGCTGGCACCGCTCCACGTGCCGGGGGCTGCTGGGGGGCACGGGGCACTGTCACCACCCCACAGCACAGCGCATCCAGCCCTGCTGCCGGTGCCGTGGATGAGCCGGACCCCGCCCTAATCCCTGTCCTAATTCCCAATCCATGCAAACCCGGGGTTGGCACCGCTCTCGCCCTGGGTCCAACTGGAGCCTGGCACCACCCGGAGCAAGAGTGGCAGGGGACACTTGGCAGAGCTGCAGCGTTGGCAGCTCGGCTGCTGCTCCCCACAGCAGCGTTTGCAGCGCTCATGGCCCTGGAACAGCCCAGGAATGTGCCTGGCTCTGGCACCCAGAGCCTGAGGAAGGGGAATGGCTCTGGATTTCACCATGCCAGGACTGAATCCTGGCTCAGGGTGTGAGCCTGGGCCCACCGAGCCCTGCTGTCCCCACCGAGCTTTGCTGTCCCCACCGAGCCCTGCTGAGTGCCAGGTCCTGGTATGCAGACAGGAGGGACAAAGACACAAAGACAGGAGGGACAAAGACACCTTTGCAGGCTTGGATGTGCTGGTGCAGGTGGGCAGAGTCCTCTCCTCACCACAGCCCAGCCTGTCCCGAGGTTGCCGGTGTCACCTGGATGTCACCCCACGGCCACCATGCTACCTTCCTGTGACGTCTCCCCATCACATGAAGGTTCTTGCAGCTTTGGTTGCAGCTTCCTGCCTGTGGCACGCAGCAGAGGCAGAGCACAGGCAGGACAGTCGTGCTGCCACACCCTGCGTGTCCCCCTGCCCACGGCCACTGACACCCAGGGCCCTGCGTGGCCGAGCAGAGGTAGGAGCTGGGATCGGGGCTTGGGGCTGGAGCCTGGGGTTGGATTTGCAGCAAGGCCAAGGAGTGACCCCTGAGCAGGGGTCACGGACAGAGCAGCACCAGGAGGTGCAGGGATGTTCCCCCTGCCCAAAGGCAGGACAAAGTGCAAAGGATGAAAGGGGTGAAGAGAGAGGGATTGGGATCCCGTGCTCACACAGCCCTTCCAGCCAGATTTTACCCTCTCCAAAGGGGGAAGTTCATCCCGGAAATGTCTCACAGAGCAACGCTTTCAGCTCGTTTCAAAACTTTCGTTCCCACCTCAGGGGGGCAGGGTTTCAGAGGCACATCCTGCCCCAGGGAGCAAATCCCCCCGAGCTGCCCCACCGAGGCCAAGGTGCTGGGATGGGGGAGTAGGGATGAGCCCATCACCCCTGCCCAGCACCCCCGCCCAGCTGGGGGATGCACGGTGAGCTCGGGGCTTTGTCCCCAGCAGCCTGGCCATGCCTGGGCAGGACCTGACCCGAATTCTCCTCCCCAGCACTCCCCGAGTTAGGTTACTGCAGTTTGAGGTGTTTTGTTTCTCTTTGTCAACACCTTCCTCACCTTCTCCTGCCTTCCCCTGCCTGCTGGGGTGCAGGGCCAGGCTGGGCAGTGCCGTGGGTTAAAGGTGGAGCTGGGTGCCTTTCCTGGTGGCTGGATCCCCTTGCTCTCAGACAAGCCTCGACCAACTCCTGTGACTCAGCTTTGCTTCCCAGATCCAACCAGCCCCAGCATCTTCCACCCCCTCAAGCATCTGCTGGGGATTAACGTTGTTTTGCTGGGTGTTGGCAGCTCAGGGTCAAGCTCAAGGTCCCTCAGGAGCTGCTCAGCCTCTCCCTCCCCATGGCTGACCTGACACACTGGGGATTTCAGAGGGGCTGGAGGATTCCAATGCTTTCTCCTCAGCTCCCCCCCCACCTACATCACTGTCCCCAGGGCTTTTCTCCTCTGGGGTCCCAAGGTCACTGTCCCTTCTCATCATGCAGGTGCAGGGTGGTCTCCCTGGGGAGGGTCAGGGTGATGAGCCTGAGCTTGGGGAGCACAAGGTGAAGGTGATGCTCACCCAGGTTGTTGGTGGGCCTGCGGGTGGTCTCTTGGAGCCCCCAGACTCCCCAGGGGCCCCAAAGGAGGCCTCCCTGCCCTGAGCCTTTTTCTCCTCATTCCCTGGGACAGGGGACCTCATGGATGACGACCGTCCCCTCT